CAACTAAAATACTAACGAAAGCCATCGTTTTTTACCATCCTTTCTCCTCCATATTTATTTATTTAATTCGTTATTTATTCTTATATATAAAGGTGGAATTATATTGGTGCATAGGGTGCAAAAGATTTAGGCACAGGAATAGCCTAGTGCAAGAATATCACAACTTTAACTCTTTATTTATAGTAAAATTAAATTTATTGATTGATAAACTAATAATTGAGAATTGATTATTTTAAGCTTTTGACTTAGTTATTAGCTAATTAAACCAGCTTGTCATTTACTAACTAACTTGCTTATTTACTTACTAACCAAATAAAATATAACGAATTTATTTACTTACTCATCACAACACAACTAAAATACTAACGAAAACCATCGTTTTTTTACCATCCTTTCTCCTCAATATTTATTTATTTAATTCGTTATTTATTCTTATATATAAAGCGAGAATAATATTGGCGCATAGGGTGCAAAAGATTTAGGCACAGGAATAGCCTAGTGCAAGAATATCACAACTTTAACTCTTGATTTATAGTAAAATTAAATTTATTGATTGATAAACTAATAATTGAGAATTGATTATTTTAAGCTTTTGACTTAGTTATTAGCTAATTAAGCCAGCTAGTCATTTACTAACTAACTTGCTTATTTACTTACTAACCAAATAAAATATAACGAATTTCTTTACTTACTCATCACAAAACAACTAAAATACTAACGAAAGCCATCGTTTTTTTACAATCCTTTCTCCTCCATATTTATTTATTTAATTCGTTATTTATTCTTATATATAAAGCGACAATAATATTGGTGATGAAGGTGCAAAAGATTTAGGCACAGGAATAGCCTAGTGCAAGAATATCACAACTTTAACTCTTGATTTATAGTAAAATTAAATTTATTGATTGATAAACTAATAATTGAGAATTGATTATTTTAAGCTTTTGACTTAGTTATTAGCTAATTAAACCAGCTTGTCATTTACTAACTAACTTGCTTATTTA